AATAAATAAGAAGGTATGAATAATAAAGTGAATAATGGAATATAATGTTGATCTTTTCATATTGGAAATGGACTCAGCAACGTAGATAATAACAAAGATGAGAATAGTAAAGTTCAACAAATATAATAATATAAACACATATGTGTGTTTGGTACACATTATAATTGGATGATGAACAGGTGTGACATACACAACTTTATTTAAATGATAATTATGCTTATATAAGTAGTTTCAATAGTAGTATATGCATGTCTATACATACTACTTAGGAGAGATACCATTCATATTAACTTATTTACTTTAATATCCTCATTAAAAGAAATCGATTACATTGAAATAATAAACAAACAATCTACGGTATTCTTTATTCTTTATTATTATTATTATCATGCACAGCTACAATCATTAAACATATAAAGGGCCAAATTGCCAGAATACATTACCAAAGGAAGATGAATACCACATCAGTAATAGTATTGTTAGTAATAATAACAAAATGATTCGTGTAGATAGAATGAAATGCATATTGATCTAGAAAACAATGAGTGAATGAACATGCTTCATCGTTACTGATTATAAGCCGGATCACTTAACAATGTATCTGTGATCCTTTTATAGGACTGAAAACATCTTGATGATTAACATATAGATAGAATGAAAGAAGGATAATGGTGGTCATATTAAATTATGGCATTCATTCAAGGATTCATCGACTGTTTATTTCAGTCATAGAGAAGCTCTGGAAGAGGTGGAAACTTTCATCAATCTGAGCGGCATTATCAGTTGAAGAATATATTGAATTTAAAACAACTGTCGGTTAAACAATATAAAAGTCAGAATCTTTAATATGAACGTTAAGATAGTTCTATTGGACAGGGAGATGAAACGTTGGAAAACTACCACAACCGTCAACAAAAATTTACAAGTATTTATAAACTATTGTCTACTCAAGATACTCAATGTCCGTTAACCGGATATCATCAGCAACAGCCTACTATGGGCGAGAACAAACCAGCTCCCATCTGAAAAGGTAATTAGGAAGAGAAGATCAAGGTGGATAAAACACACATTGAAGAAATCATCAAACTGGATAACGAGGCAAGTGCTAACTTGTATTCCTGAAAGGAAACGAAAAAGAGGAGGACCAAACAAAACAATACGTCGGGGATCGGAAGAAGAAAATGAGAAGGATGAATAGCAACTGGAAAGGATTGTCCAGGACAGAGTTAGATGAAGAATGCTGATAGATAACCTATGCCCCTAGATGAGTGGTAAGAGGTGTAAGTAAATAATTAAGTAATTTGGGTCATATGAGAAAATAAAAATATTTCTAGTCAATCTCCACGATCTAGTTATACAACTTATGAACGTACATAATCTGTACAAATTTGTATATTTATCTTTAAGGTATGCCTTTTTTCATAAGGATTGCTCAATCAATTAATGGGTTAGTTACTCACAAAATATAATACACGGTTTTGTACCGTTACTTATCAACCAAAGTTGTAAACTCTTCATATAAGTAAATTAAGAAAAAAATTAACAAAGCTAATAATCTACTTAAATCAGACGAACGAGTAATAAGGTCATGGTGTTAGTATAATAAAAGAAATAGTACTTTAGAATAAGCCAGTAAAAGATTTATACATCTATGTCTCACCAAAACTAATTTCATACAGTTCACGATCATTTGAAGATCTGGAAGAACTATAACTATTGACTTAAAAATTTCTACTTAAAGACTTTATTACATTAACCAAATCATTAGGAATATAAATTGAGAGAGGATGACAGTTATTTTTTCAGCCCTTCAAAATGTAAATTATATCTTAACTATTCAAAAGAATGTGGGATAATTAATTTTAATGATTATTATTGTATAAAAACAATGAAGATTGTTGATGACGAATGTGTTAAAACAATATGACTAACTATTATAAATAACGTGGCTTACTATCAAAAATTCAGTGATTAGTTATTAAGATAAACTATAAATGGATAACGAGATGGCGTCTGAAGAGAACGGTACCGGTTTTGAGTGCCAGAGTGAATATCAACTCTGGTATGCAGGTACATCTAGCTGACGAGTCCCAAATAAGACGAAACGCGCGTCCTGGATTTCATTGCTAGCCACCAACCATCTCTGCTCATAATACTTTTGAATGAAGGCAATATCGAGGCAATCCGCACAGGGTGCATATATGCAAATATGAGACTAATCATGACCCCCAAATGCCTTGGTACGGACGAGCGTGGAAAGAGTTCTCTAGCCCTTTCAAAATGTTATACATGGTCATACGTATACAGCCACTCTCAGGGAGGTCCTACTCACTGCCTTCTCACGGAGGGGATGTTCTTTACAAAGTGAGAGGACGAAAAGCGAATATCAGGCGCTTTAACAGGATTGGTGGATACGGAGGATATACCTAAAGGAGTTTGAAAACCCTGATTCTGAACCAATGGTGCACATGGCTTCAGGAATTTATGTATGAACCTATTGTTGATCACCGGCTACCATGTGACTGTATCACCTAATGTTGCTCCATTACCTTGTGGATTAGACCCGAGGGTCGAAGGCTTGGAGAGTGGCCTGTTAAGAAAACCACCTGCTTCTGTCTGGACGCCCTCAAACATATGGCGCATGTATTTGGTGCCTTCTTGTACCAATGTTTATGTGTTTAAATAAGTAAAATATATATTGAAATAATTAAATGGGGTATTAATTAGACTACTAGTAAAATATTAGTAGAAAGAAATTCGTATTATCTTTACAATCAATACAAACAAATATAGAGGATTAGTTAAGATTTCTTGGAATTCGAGTTTCAGTGTGAACATCAATACTGAGATATAACACATAAATTCGAAAGACGAGTTCTAAAATAAAATGAAACACTGTTTGTCACGGTCTAACTTCACCAAATAAAAGCACAATTAAATATTCCAAATTGTATTTCTTGCTTAAAAGCCCTGTAATTGTATGCATGACAACGGTAAAGTCTAAATATACATATTTAGAGTGATCTAACCAAGCTAAATTGTTCAATTTTTAATGACTGAATGTAAACTATACCAACATTATTCTATTTCATTACAGTATCTGTTATATGCAAGTATAAATGTAAAATGGTGTACTTAGATTTCAGTCATAATGAAACATGTTCCCTTAAACCAAAATAAGTAAACCTATACAAAAACGTAAAAACGGTAGAACAGAACAAATGGCGCTGGGTATTGGAGTCAGGTATCAAAAGAATGAATAGGACTTGGCAACAAATGTAAAAGATAGCCCAGGAAAAAGTTGTTTGTACATTCCTGGTTAGTGGTCTATGCTGCATACTTAGATGTAAAATAGTAATGTGCAAAACGTGTACTCTATATAGCCACTGATTTAACTGCTCTAAACGTTCAGTCAGTCATCTATAACGCAGGATCAGGCACATATATGTATCGGTACAAGTTACCATACCTCATTAATACAACATAAACAACAAATTCATAGAACCAGTTAATTCAGTGGTAGTGATATATTAAAAAAAGAATGGAAATAAGAATATGATACAAGAGAAAAGAATGAGTTTGTGGAAATGAAGGTATGCAGTGATTTTATTCTCACGGTTTGAGGGAAGATAGAGAGTGTATACACCTACGCCATATCACCCAGAATCTCCAACCATTGGTTACGATAGTCACACGGACCCCAAGTAGTCTACATCTATCAACATGGCTAAGATTAGAAGTTAGTGACTTCGAGGATTGATGCCACGTTTTGGTTTGACCCTCGTGCAATAACTAACACCATATAAAACTGAGATGATTACGATTAGTAAAAATCATCAATCCTTATCGAATTCGACTGAATAAATTTCTGATGAGCATTTACTTAATTATCAGTGAAATATTCCCTCATTTTCGGTTTTTGATAAAAATTACGATTATAATTAATTTAATTGATTTTTGTGATTATACTAGATTATGGGTGCATGTATGATGTATACTACTTATGTCTGTCGATATAAATAGTATGTAACACAAATTGGATATGGAATGTTTGTCAAAAGAAATTTGAGAAGATTGAACTGAAGAAAACAGAAAGAAATTAAAAGAGTCATAAAAGATATAGAAGACAAATGATAGAAGATGTGCAAATGAATTATTTAATGTATGGTTTTCACATTTTACGAAAATTTTGTCTCCACCTGAGATTTTGTTCACCACATACATACTGTTGACTAGTTTTCTTTTAATAAAACACTAATTATACCCTAAACAATTGCACTGTAATATTGAATTGCCTAATATCTAATTAAGTATACTTCAATTGTAAATAAATATTTACTACCATTTTTTCTGAAATAGTTGTTTACATATATTTTACAACAAGAATTTCCGATTGATTAGTCATTTTATATGGTATTACATAAAGCAATTTCGATTTGAGTATCTCTCAAGAAATTAGTAAACAAGTAACATTGAAAGTTTTCCTTTAAATAGTCAATATTAAGTGATGTAAATCAGTATCGGTAGTTAAAATTGAATATCAGTTCAATTGTCAATTCTAAATGATTAATTATCAATGAACTTAGGTAAATAATTAACATTTAAACTATGGATATCTTTATTTTCCTATGTACTCATAACATGAATAAACTGATTATGTTTTCTTTTATAGTTTTTCCATGAAAGAAAGTTAATTAGCTAGTTGTAGTTGAAAGTGATTTGAGTGAATAATGAATAATCATAGTGATAAATCATTTACTCAGGGTATACAACATTTTGAGAAAGAGAGAGAGAGGAGGAGGAGGAGGAAAGCGAGCATAAAGCCTTAAACAGTAATATGACTTAATGTGTATTGGTCATTTTCAACTTAGTCCGATTTTTTTGAAATCAACCTAATGTTATATGATAGCCTAATTATTAAAACTGACTGACTGGTTGAATAAACTTCACTGATTCAACACAACGAATAACAAGTAGAATATAAAATTTTTTTTACTTACCTGCCGAGGTTTACTATTATTACTATTATTATTGTTATTACTTGAATTCATTATTGTACTCGTGCGTAGATGTTACTTTTCAGATGTTAGAATAAATTAAATCCACAGTTAATGTATGATACTCAATATTATTTTGTTTTAATATTTAAAAGACGATGGTATATAGTGAGAATACTGAACACCACAAAAATATATCTATTAATCCGAAATCAATAATGTATCTTTACACGTTTAAATATAGTCAGTTTTTAAAAAGAAATCCATTAATATTGATTTGTGTATCAATTTCATATTCCACAATACGTTGAATTGATCAATTCAAGTTGATCTCTTCATAAGGAGATACAATAATAATCCAATGAATTCGAAAAGTTCCAATGAATAAGATTTGATATTGTATTTCCTGTAGAACAATTAATCGATCAATGAAATGGGAAATATATATATATATATCTATTTATGTATGTCTGTAGTTATTTGTGTGTTGAAATTCGAATAATGTGCGTCACAACTAATGATTATCAATCAATTTTGGGCAATCGATCAATAATGATATTGTTTTAATGGATAATGTTGAAACAGAATATTCTCTGTTTTGTTGTTGTTTTCTATGGCGATTATTATTATTTCGACGATTTTATTATTATTATTATTATTATTATAATTTGATAGATAAATCTGTCAACTTGAAGGCCATATAAAATTGCTCATATCATCACTGGACTTCTTAGAAATAATTTTTTCACACACGAGAGTAAGTCACGCAGTATTCTTGACGAGATAAATTAGGCTAGTTTATCTGGTAATGCCGTCAAACTGTCAAAAATTTTGTCAGAAATTTATCGCATTGAATACTAGTGAATTGAATATCTGTGCTTGTGTAATGACCTGTCAAACTGTCTAAATTAATAAAAAAAAGGGGGTGGATATAAAATTTATTTAGGGGTAGAGAATGAAAAAATAAATAAATTTCAAGGCCTTCTATATGATGATTATGTGGTTAAAAGGTAGACAGATATAAACAAGAATTCTATATACAATCCTTTTTAGATTCGATATTTCCGGTTGGCCTAACATACTTCTAACGGCCGTTCGACCAATCAAAATTTAGAGACCTCACATACCTATACTATGATTGGTTATTAAAGCGGACTAATAAACATCAAATAACATTCTTTTTATAGTTTGTAATCTAATTGACTAAACTTATTGGTTAATTGAATTATAGTTTATGGAGGTGGGACAGTCAACTTGTAAACCAATCATTGATGAAACATATGTAAATGAAGCCCTGATTATTTTTCTGTGATATGATTGATCATCCTTAATCTTATTAGATAGTGATAAATTAAGGATGTCAGATATTGGCCTATTTTTTAGTTTTTACAATCTGTTCATAATGGTTATAATGATTATTGAAAATTTTCATGGATAACCTGTAAACACTGGACGGCCGATTCGTCTTATTATGGGACTCCTCAGCAATGCGCATCCAAGATACCGCCCCCCCCGCGAGATTTGAACCCAGGACGTATCAGTCTCGAGCCAGGCGCTTAACCAGCTAGACCACTGAGTCGGCATCCTTATGTTATGAATTAAGAATATGGAATTTTTACAGTATTGTAAAATATTGATATACACAGAAAACGTTATGATTATCAATAGTGATGTCTATACAGTCATCCATATAAAGACTTATCAAACAATTGATGAATGATAGGAGTATATGTGCACTCCATGACACTTCAGTTTAACTTGGTAGCATTGAGGCATCAACATCTTAAATGTACAGAGTTAAAACTCACTTCTGTTGTATATTTAAAATGTGTTAGCCTTATAAAATGTATTATTTATTCGTAATTTTGCAAATATGAGAATTTATTATTTGTTGTGTTATCGAAAGCCTAAGTTATAGAAAACGAGAAGCTTTATCCTCACCAACTTTATATGGTCAAATAACTTTTAGTAATGAATAGCTGAAATGAAATAATACAAATGTTAGGGGGAACTTACACGAAGGGAGCATGAGTCGTATTGAAAAACGCAAAATTATAACATATATCTTTAGACTATTCACTGGGATGCTTTGAAAAAAAATCTAGTCCGTTTAAAAAAGAAATCGACACATATTCCAAACATATTTTTTCATTATCACTTAAAGCGTTTGCAAGTACCTGTATTCAGTTAGCATCATCGCGAAACTGATCTAAGTTATCTGTACACTCTGGGTCGATAACTGTTTTTTCAGGTATATGATCAAACCCCTAAATGTCAAACTACAAAATTCTTATCTTTAAAAGTAGGTATCGAGTAAAAATCTAACCAACGATAGAAAAAATGAGAAACCATAGTGGGTACCAATGAAAGTAGTCATTTAGGGAAAAAGCTGCAAATAGATTGGTTTGCTTTGTTGGTACATCATCCAATTGTTGACACTACTGTAATCGTTAGTAATGAATGTTAAACACTCGATAATATTAATACGTATTGGTATAGTACAAAGTGAATAGTTTGTTCCATTGATAAATAATCAATGTAATCAATAGTCATTGACGTATATTTATAATATGGTTCTTCACTAATGTGTATAACCCATCCAAAGTATATACCAACAACTACATCAATAACGATACTGAGGTTATGATTAAAAATAATCCTTTATATAAGACTGAAGATTTTTGAATATTACAAACTGATATTAATTAATCAACTATTAAAAAAACAGGAAGCACTGGACAGACGTTTCTTCTTGATATAAAACTTCTCAGTGGCCGTGCATATACACAACCTCCTAAAAGAGGTCGAATTCAGTACCTTCAGATCTTACAGACAGAATCTTCATTTCAGACCATTGATCCTGTATCTTGTAATTTACCTGTTTACTTTCAATTAATTAGCAAGTATTTAGAGAACTTATCGTCTAATCATATTTGTAGGAAACTGTCTCACATCTAACATATTCTAATCTCACTGAAACATTTTTTTTTGATATACCTCTCATGCTAAGACCAATAAGCGCTTTAAGTTAAGAAATGAATTTATTTATTTATTTGTGTTGTTTGTCCATCTGTCAAGGTCAGTCGAATTCACTGTATTTAGCAACTAAGTATAACTTATTATTTGTATACCAGAAAGTGCTTTTTAAATCAACCATATCTCTCATAAAACTATATGTGTTTATTATTATTATTATTATTATTATTATTATTATTATTATTATTTGTAAGATGGAAACATGTTAAGGACAAATGTTAATATTATATCTGTATATTAATCGGGTTAGCCAAAACTGAACGTTAACATGTCAAGTTATAACATGTTTTTTTTCTTCCAACTATATCTAGATATCTACATTCAAAATATGACTGATTCCATAATAGATGAATGAATATATTCTATTCTATTTAATAAGATAATTTCAATAACATAGATATGAATAAACATTAAACTATTCTCTACTGTATTTTTTAAAGAAAAATGAGTCATCACTAATCATTATCCTACGAAAAGTCCAAATCATGTTGTCATTACCATTTACCCATATGATACGAGTGGGTTAGTAACAAACAAAAAAAAAAAACGATCAATAATGTCTCTGTTATTAACAATCTTAAAATTATTACTGAGATTTATTATAAAACAATAAAAAAAGTCCAAGTTTTATGATCAGTCTATTTTAATTGATTGGTTGAATGGACATTGTAACAGATCAATTGAAATATTGATATCCATTTTATCCAATTAACTGTCATATTCATTAGTTAATTAGTGGTAAATAAATGTTCACATCATGATGTTATTAGCCAATAGTAGAAGTTTAGTAACCATAAGAGCATCAGTGTATTCTTTCTTGATGTTTTTTTATTAAAAAAAAAAAACAACGATGCAGATATTATCATGAGATTTTCAGTTTCAGTTTGGAAAGGACAGGAGGCTTGATAGCCTGTGTTAGTCCTGGCAATGGTGGTTCCTCAGTTGATCCAACTTTCTTTTGAAAGAGTCGATGGATGAAGCCTCAATCACGTGCTGAGGTAATGAATTCCACTCGTTGATGATTCTATGGGAAAGTCGATAGTCAGCTGACAAGTAATTTGTTCTGGGCTTGTGGACTTTTTTGGAGTGTTCTCGTAAATTCTCTGTTTTGGAAGACAAGGAAAATGAAGGCATATCAAATGCAAATTTATCACTAAGCAATTTGAAAACTGTAATCAAGTCGCCTCTAGCTCTGCTATATGACAACGGGAAAATGTTTAGCTTGGCCAGTCGAGCATCATACGGAAGCTTCACAATTCCGGGAATCAGATTAGTTGCTGTTATCTGAACCTTTTCCAGAAGCTCAGTCTTTTTTTAAGCAGGGGCTAGCCGCTTGTATGCAGTACTCAAGTTTAGGACGTACAAACGCTGTATACAAAGTCAAGGACGTTTTAACGTCGACATGACTAAAAGCCCTACGTATTGACTATAAGGTTCTAAAACCTTTGGCGGCTATTACACGGCAGTGTGCAATAGTCTTTAGGTCTTGGCAAACGATGACTCCTAAGTCATTATGTGTCTGGACGACAGGTAGCTCAGTGTTATCCGTGTATTTTACAGGTTCTCCTAATAATTTAGTTTTGTTATGTTGTGGATTAACTACTGTGAAGATACTTCATATTTGATTGAAATAACTAATCATAATTTCCTTTAGTTTTTAACATTTATATTATTCAATGGTAAGTTTTTTCATTTAAACGTCTAGGTATCGTTTTTTTCTTTTTCCATATCTTCTTATTCCCCAGGAGTAGTTTTGAATCTTCGGATGTCGAACAGAGAACAAAAGAACAAAAGTTAATTAACGAACAGTTCAGTGATATCATGAATCAATCAATAATAGACAACTCCTGAGAATTTAGAAACACTGGACGGTCGTGTCGTTATAATATGGGATTACTCACTAGTATGTATCTATGACTCTACCACAGGAAATCGAATTCAACACCTTGAGTGTGAACTTCTAACATCCAGACTATGACCCGGCAATCAACAGTGCTAATGTCTAAATTCAATTATAT